ATTGGGGAGGGTATTGGGAGAGGGGATGTTGGAGCAGTATTTTTGGCCCAACTCCCTTGATATATAGAATGGGGATGGGAAAGGGGAGCTGTTGGAGATGCTGACGTGGCATCATCTTACACACCAAAGCAGCAATTTAAGAAAGAAAATATAAAATTTGAGAACATTAGGATAAAATAATAATCATATAATGGGTTTAAAGGAAATTCATGGAAACATTTTTTCAGGCTGAATATTTGAAAAGACGTGTATATATTTTTTAGGGAACTCAAAAAAGTTTATCTGGACTGGCTATTAAACAACTTAGCAACATGTCATCATTTGACTATTGAATCCTTCTGAATTTTCAAAATAATTAAGGTTTTACAAAAATATATGTTATAATTTTTCCTTTTTTATTTCAAGGATAACCTTTTATAGTTAAGTTGCTGAGGTATATAGTGATGCCGTAAGTCTAGCATCTACCTTCTGAGTAAGCAGAATACCACATGTGATGGTAAAATGAATGGGTTGGCAAGTAAAACTTCTGCAACTACTCAGATGCGATCTTCTTCTCAGCTTGCCTAAAAGAACTAACTGTTAGCTGCTAAATCAGTTGGTCAGCTCTCAGCTGTACTTATGTTGACTGTCGTCTTAATGAAAAGATATGCCAACACTTATTTGCATGTTCTCTAGTCTAAAGCAAATCACGTTGCCTGCCCTTTAATTGCTTTAGTACATGTATTTTTTTCTAGTGGAGAACGCAAAATGTCTTAATTTTATCTGTAAGATGCTGCTTTCAGCGCTTTGTGTGCCTGTTACTGTTCCACAAGAAGTATTTGTTCACAAGATATTTTCATAACGTACGGTACCTTTTCTGAAACAGCCCCTGGACTTCCTTCAGAAGGCAGTAATCAAGCACAGCCATCAGCAATTCCCTTGATGTCTCAGCAACAGGCCCGGCAACCAAATACTACATCTGTACAGGCTTCTTCACTCACTAATATTGGACAGAACTTGCCAGGTGTCAACCAAACATCAACGATGCAGAATGTGTCTGTCATGCCACAGAACACAATGAATAATGGCTTGGCGCAAGGTACTTCACAAGATATTTATGCTGCACAGAGGCAAATGGCAGGAAGGCAGCAACAGCAACAATCACAGCAATTAATTTATCAGCAGCAGCAAATGCTGATGAAGCAGAAATTGCAGCAGAATTCACTCATGCAACCGCATATTCAGCAGCAGCAATCTTTGTTGCAGCCAACACAGATGCAATCTACACAGCAATCCATGATGCAGATGTCATCTGGCCTTCACCCTGTGCAGTCTACCGTTCCACAGACACAGCCAATGTCCAGGCAGTCAGTTACTCAGAGTGGTATTCAACAAAATCAATTGAATTCCGTACAACAATCTGTTCCATCATTACTCCAGCAACCTCAGCAATCTGTTGGGAGGCAGCAACAACAAGCACAGCCGTCCATGCATCAACAGCCTTCTCTGCAGCGTCAGCAGCCCAATATTCCTTTACAGCAGCAGCAGCAGCAGCAGCAGCAGCAACAGTTGATGGGACAACAACCAAATTTAGAGCGAAATCAGCTAATTGGTCAACAGAATGGTGCTGTGGAGATGCAGCAGCAACAGAGGCTACCAGCTCAGTCAAATAATCTTTTGAATGTGCAGCAAACACAGCAGCAGATGTTGAACCAGCAGTCTATGCCTTTGCATCAGCCACAACAATTGGGCTCTCAGGCAAACATGTCAAGTTTACAGCAGCAGCAACAAAATCAACAGCAGCAGCGGATGCATATGCTGCAGATGAAAGCTCAGCAAACACAGCAACAACAGCATGCTCAGCAGTCACCAATGGGTTTGATGCAACCTCAGTCCCAAAACAACCAACTTCAGCAATCGCAACAACATCTTATGTCGCAGTTCCAGTCCCAGCCTAATCAACTACAACAGCAATTAGGGATGCAGCAGCAATCCTCCATGCAGCAAAGACTTCAAACTTCAGGAGGCATGCTCTTGCAACAAAATAACATGGATCAACAAAAGCAATTTATTCAGGCACAGAGGGGCCTTCAAGAAGTTTCCTCTAGTAGTAAGTTTTCACATATACTTTCATTGTAGATCCATCGTATGCTCTTATTGTTCTCCCTCTTCTTTTTCTCCGTATTCTTATGTTTATCTTTCTATTGTGACCTTACTTTCCTTCTGCAGTCTAAACTAGCTAATCGATCTGGACTCGTTATTTTTGCCTTACACACGTAGAGAAGTTCAGGGGAAAATGCGTGTTGCCCATCAAGACCCTCCATGCCCATACTTTTCTTGCCAACAGTTACATTTTGGACCATAATACAATGTCTTTATTAGACTACAACCTGGATTCTTGTATCCTAACTCTTACTGAACCATAAGGGCACTCCAGTGCATTGTATCTTGTGTTGTATCATATGCATTACCTATATCTTAGTGGTGTATCTAATGGAGCTTCCATTTAATATATTCTGTGACAGAAAAAGAATAATTATCTTGTCTTACCTGATAAGAACTGTATCCAGATAAGATACAATATCTCTCTTTTTCCCTTACTTTTGGCATCAAGCCAACCAAGCTCTATATATTGCGATGTTTAGTGATCTAGTACACTGTAATCATCATGTTGACTAAACTGACCATGTTGATCTTCTGTGACTTTTGTTCACCGCATTCGGTTTTCTTATTTGTTGAAATTTTCTGGAAATGCTACTGTGCAATATTCATGATGACTAAAGCTGACCATATGGATCTTCTGTGATTGTTCGATTTGGTTCAAAAGTATCCCAATTGCCCCTGCATTCCATCCTATAATGTGTTTGTAGCTTGTTATTTGTTGGCTTGTTCATTGTATCCTGGTACTCCTTGACAACCTTGCTTTTTATGCAGCATCCGCGGACTCTACCACTCAAACAGGCCTTGCAGGTGCAGGTGATTGGCAAGAGGAGATCTATCAAATGGTAAGACATGATACTGATATAATCCTTTTTAGCAATTCCCTTTTTGGAACATCCTAAAATTCATAGAGAGAGGCCCCTAGAACAAAGCTTGAGATTCCTGATCTTTTTAGAGCATCAGGGAGCTACAAAGGCCTCCCCGGTTCCATTATCAAAAGAAACCAGATTGTAACAAAGTCTTTGCTGTTTAAAAGTGAGGGCACAAAATAAAACAAAAAGCCAAGGCTAAAAGCAGCTAGGGGTGGAGGATCATCTCAAAGTTCAGAAGGCTAGAACGTAACTAGGAGAAGGCGTTAATTTAGGCGGTGGAGCCACACAACAATTACAGAGAAGAGGTTGTTGCGGCAATGCAAGCCAAAGGTGTGAGCTCAATCTTCGACCTCTTCAGCGGCGATTGATTTGGCGAAGTTGTCAGCTCCAGAGGCGTCACAGGGCTGATAGCCATGGCCTTCAGCTCCCAGTGTGGCAGTCCAGCAGCAGGCGACTTGGCGCTCCTTGGTGGCGAAGGTAAAGCTGCCCTATTACCCGGAGCACCGGAGAGAGAAAGTTTTGCCAACAGAGATTATCAATCGTACTTGCCAGGTCTGTTTTGCCCCTACACACCTAAAGAAGAGGTGATGCACACTCTCAGGTTCAGAACAGAATAAGCAATCAGGGTTCTTGTCAATCCCCCTTTTCAAGAGATTGTCCTTTGTCATAATTTTATTATTAGCAAAGAGCCACAAAAAGACATGAACTCTAGGGGGAGATTTCCCTGATCTAGATTGTTAGAAGATGAAACAACATGCCGTTGTATGTTGGGGCCTTTTACTTTTGTTCTTAATGTTGCCCATCTCCTTTTCTTTTGGTTTGTGTTCCAACAAATTCTTCTTCTTGAACTGGAACCAGAATTCATACAGCACAATAGTCTAGTGTGTAGATGCATTACATTCTGGCATTCTTCTTATAAGATATTCCCTCCGTCCCAAAATAAGTGTCACTGATTTAGTACAAATTTAGTAAGTGACACTTATTTTCGGACGAAGGGAGCATATATTATATGTATATATATACCGTATTCCGTATTCTGTATCAATGTGGAGTATGGAGCATACAACCATACAGAGTATCTAGATATAGCAAAGCCTCAAGGCAGTTAGCAATCTTTATTAAATGATCTTATTTAATGGGCATCATAGTTTCTTATTTTGTTTTAGATTTGTATGCTTTGAAAAGCTACTTGAAATATCTTGCCAGTGCCATATTTGCTGGCTTATTGACAAACCATGGTCTATTAGCTTTTCTTTTATCATCTCTATATAGCTTCTGCACCAAGTTTATATGTATGTGGTCTTTGTTATCGACAGATTAAGAGCTTGAAGGACCAATACTTTGCAGAACTCAGTGATTTGTCCAATAAGATATCTATGAAGCTACAACATGTTGACAGCATTATACCACCTCAAAAGCCATCTGAGCAGTATGATAGAATGAAGAACTTTAAAAATATGTTGGACCGTATATTACAACTGCTGCAAATTAGCAAAAGTACTATCCAACCTGCTATGAGGGACAAAGTTCCTCAATACGAGAAACAGATTATCAGTATCTTAAGTTCACAAAGAAGGAAGCCAGTGCAGCCACAAATACAGCAACAGTTCCAGCCACCTGCAGGACAAGCTCCTAATTCCAGCATTTTACAGCAGCAACAGACTTCCCAGAATTTGCAGCAGCATGATAGTCATACTAATCCTCAAGCAAGTTTGTCAAGTATGAGCACTGGATTACAGTCCTCTGGTGTAGCTGGTATGCAGCATGTCCCTGTGCCTCCAACAACAAACTTCAGTGCCCCCACACAGCAAAATGGTGCAAACATACAGCATCAGGCTGTCTCTAATATGGAGGCTGCTCAAGGAGGCAATTTGAATTCTTTGCAGCATGGTTCGGTGAGTGGCGCATTACAACAGGGAAACACTGGGCTGATGCAGGGAACAATGAATACACAACTGCAGACAAGTAGTGGCATGCTATCTCATAACTCAATGAGCACGATGCAACCTAATGGTAACTCCATGCAAGCAAATGCAAGTTCATTACAGCAGCTGAAGCAGCAACAGCAGGATCATCATATGATGCAGAGCCAGCAAATGAAGCGTCAGATGTTTCAGCAGTACCAGCAAAAGCAACAAATGCTTCAACAACAGTTCCCAATACAGCAACAGTCACAGAAACATCAGCAAGTACAGATGCAGGTTCCACAGCTTCATGCTGGAAATGATGTTAATGAGTCAAAGGCTAGACAAGGAACTGCAGTGAAACCTGGAATTTATCAACAGCACTTGGGCCAACGCAGTAACTACTATCATCCGCAGTTGAAACAGGGTGGTGCTTTCCCAATTTCGTCACCACAAAACCTCCAACAATCATCTCCACAAATTTCACACCATTCTCCTCAGGTTGATCAGCACAACCTGTTGCCATCTCAAGTCAAGACTGGGACACCATTGAATTCAGCTAACTCACCATATGTTCCATCGCCATCCCCATCTGTTGCCCCCTCTCCTATACCAGTGGATTCAGACAAACAACACTCCAATATATCATCACTTACTAATACTGGGCAGACTGGACATCAGCAAACCTCCCTAGCGCCCCAGACACAATCGATTGCTGTGAATACACCAGGAATATCAGCATCACCCTTACTAGCAGAATTTACAAGTGTGGATGGAAATCAGGCTAACATGCCAACTCAAGTTCCAATCAAATCAAATGCAGCAGAAAGGCCTATGGACCGCTTACTGAAAGCAGTAAGTGTCTTGCCATTTTATGTTTACTGTCTGTAATTTTTTGTTCTTAATCAGTTTTGTTCTGAATGTATTGTAGAACTTGACTATTTTCAAATTTAGCCAAACTATTCTGAAGCATACTGACTTAAAAAAATGATGGCCAAGAATGGGAATTTGATTATAGGAGTTAGATATATCATGCTCTTTTCTGGTCCACATCAATTAGTTCATATGATAAGAATGGTGCATAATCATTTTCGTCCTCACCATCTGAAGATTCTAAAGCATGTGTAACATGAAAAATACACTTCACTTCGGTCAATTAGTATTTCAGATGATAGCAATGCTGCCTATCCATGTCCATTCTTGCTATCCTAATATTTGAAAGCATGTGTAGCAAGAATTGAACTGGTTTCATTACTAGAGAATCCAGATTTGTTGTCCGGCAGCCTGTCCTGCTGTTGTAGTAGTACATAAGAAGCCATTTGCATGATTCAGTTTAATGCTGTAAATTAGTTCATACTATTCTAATTATTATTTGTTGCCTATTTTATATTCAATGTCATGTCACATGCAGTTGCGAACAACACAGCGCGAGTCTCTTAATGCTGCAGTTAGCGACATTCGATCTGTTGTCAGCATGATGGACAGGATTGCTGGGTCAGCACCGGGTAATGGTTCGAGAACTGCTGTTGGTGAAGATTTAGTTGCTATGACAAAGTGCCGGTTACAAGCCAGGAATTTCATAGCAAATGATGGAAGTGGTGCATCGAAGAAAATGAAGCGTGATATAAGTGCCATGCCTCTTAACGTGTCATCAGCTGGAAGTGTTGACGATAGCTTCAAGCAAACATTTAGTGTAGATACCCCTGATCTACAGTCAACCGCAACCTCGCGTGCCAAGCGGCGAAAAATTGAGGTATGTTAAGATTATCTGTTGAGAAATGAAGAGAAGATTATTCGAACCAGTGTTGAGAAATGTTGAGAAATTCAAGTAGTGGTTATTTATTTATTTACCCTTTCCATAGAAGGGAATGTAATAGTTCCTTTGACTCAGATGTTGTTAATTGTTGGCTGCCTTGCATTTACACTGGCATTTGATTCATCTTTGTGCAGGTAAATCATGCTCTCTTGGAGGAGATCGAGGAGATAAACCAAGGGCTCATAGATACGACGCTCCGTGTATGCGAGGATGATGATGAGTCACTCGCTGTCACATCTGAAGGGACAGTCATCAAATGCACATATACTGCTGTGGCTGTTAGTCCGAGCTTGAAGTCCATGTTGGCGTCTGCACAGACGGTAAGTTTTTGAAAGAAAGCACGCATACTCGATGTTGTGGACATCTGCTCATTTCCTCTTGTTGAAATGTGGCAGAGTCCGATTATGCCGCTGAGGTTGCTTGTCCCTGCTGGCTACCCTAAATGCTCCCCGGTGCTCCTCGACAAGTTTCTGGACGAACAAAGGTCTGTAGCCACTCTGCTCACTCATTATTTGCCAAAGTTGTTTAGGTGAAGATTGAACTAACTATGTTGTGCATCAGAAACTCGGACGACCTGTCTAGCAAAGCGAAGTCAAAATTTGGCGTATTGCTGCGGGGCCTAGAGGAGCCCATGTCACTGCGAGAAATCGCAAGGACGTGGGATGCTTGCGCGCGCGGAGCCATTGCGGAGTATGCCCAGAAGAGTGGTGGAGGAAGCTTCAGTTCGAGTTATGGTCGCTGGGAGACCTGTGTAGTGTAGGTGCTTGATCCGTCTATTATGGTTTGTCCTTGAATTATGTATAAATTATATATGTCCCGGCTAGAGGCATGAACATGCTCAGACGGCAACTTTCACCAAAATAAAAAAATGATGACCTAATCAAAATAAATAAATGTTGTATGAATGGAACTTCGGTTAGATGTTCTTATAGGCTGATGCTTATTTTGTTTCACATTGTCGGAATTCGAAGAATGTACTCCCTCTGTTCTAGAATATAAGTTGCATTGATTTTTGTGCAAGCCAACCATTTAAAAGTTTGAACAAGATTATAAAATAAAATAACAACAGCTATAATACCTAATAGATAAAATATGAAAGTATTTTTCATGATGAATCAAATGATATAAATTTTGTATTATGGTTATTGATATATTTTTCTAAATACTTGTCTAACATGCATTCGAGAAAAAACAAAACCACCTTATAAAGGAACGGATGGGTATTTCTTCTCCACCAGAATGTAAAGTGTAGTGACAAACAAAAAAAATCATTATCATGTGGACACGCACAACCCAATTTTTTTAAAAATTATCTTTGTTAACAAAAGTACTCAACTTTGTACTAGCACTAGAGACACTTATTTTAAGGCGGAGAGACACTTATTTTAAGGCGGAGGAAGTATATTTTAAGGAAAAATATATTATTTTCTCCAAGAAAGAATAAAATGGCTCGGCTTTTTTTTAGAAGACACTGCCTTTTGGTACGTATGTGACATACGGCAACTCAGCTTGCAACTAGCTACTACCGTAACCGATGGAGTTTTTTTTCTCCGAGAACGCAGTACAGACGCAGGTGTTCAGATATACATGTATACATTTATTTCTATGATTTTTTTAAGAACACAATACAGATGCAACTGTTCAGATATATGCGTATACACTTATCCTTATGAACACACACACATATACCTTATCTTTATGAGCACCTTCTAACCATCAAGATGTTCTTATACACGCATATTATCTTGACATTGACAAAGTCTATGCGAGCATCAGGATTTAAATCCTGATGAGTTAGAAATACCACTGTCCTCATAACCATCCAACTACAAGTTGGTTCATCATAACCGTCGGAGTTAGTGCTCCTTCACGCAACACACCAATGTGTGAGACGGTGACCCACAAATGATGAGTAATCGATGGAGTTAACGAGTGTCTAGCTCTTTGCCGAGTTTTTTTTGGTTGGTCACTCGTCTAGCTCTTTGGCGAGTTTTTTTGGTTGGCCATTCGTCAAAGCACCTGCTAAATAGAGGGTGAAAAAAATACTCGGCAAAACTAGGACACCCGACAAAGTGCAGGCCAGAAAAACATCGACTGCTGCTCAAGAAATCAGGACACGTATCCCTGTTAGCCATGGTTGATGGAAGGGAGGCACTCGACAAAACATTTTTTATCTCTTCTTTTTATTGATGTTTATGCTTTGCCGATAGACAACATTCCACAAATTGTATTTCATTTTCTTTTAGTTTTCTTTCTTTTATTTCCTCTGCCTTTTTTATTCTCTTTCCTTTTCTTTGCTTTCTTCTCTTTTTTCCCCACTCTTTGCCGCCCTTTTTTCCATCCCTTTCTCTCCCGACATGTTTGTTGATCTTTTTGTTCGTTGTTTTAATGTCTC